AAAAAAAAAAAAAAAAAAGTCAAACTTAAGTTTTTTAGCAGATCTTTTTGACTAAAAAGGTCAAACTTTAAATTTTTAAAAAAATCTAATAAACTTGATAGATTGAACTATTTAAAATATAAAATTATTATTTATATTTTAATATATAACTATTAATAGTATATTTAATACTTAGGTCTATTTAATATTTCTACTCGTAAGTCCATCGCCATGAATTTTGGCGAATCAAAATGGACCTCTAGCTAGACCCAGGATTACTAGCTTTTCTTTTCAAAATTTTCAAAACATAAAACTACAATTCATTCAGATCCGAAACTTGCTTATCCATTTGTTTTGACAAATATACCCTAAATCACCTCATTCCACTCTATTGTTAGAGCTAGAATCAAATTTCACCCGACAAAAAGAGTTTTAAAAAATATCAATTATTGACATTTTCCTCTTCATTTAATTTCAGATGAGCATTATCGCAGTTCTCGAAACTGACTCTTCAGGAGGTACTAAACGTGAAAGCATTCACACAAGGGAGTGCTAAATATTCTCCCGAGAAACCACAAGATTTTTAAACAAAACAGATAACAATCCTAGTCATGGGTAATATCAATCTTCTTTTGGAGATACCGGAATAACTGTGGAATTGTAAATGGAGGCTTGTCCCATGATTTGATACACAATTTTGCCACTGCCAGAAGACTTTTAAGCTCCGTACAGTCGTAATTGTTACCAAGATCAGGGTCTATCATCTTATCTATGGAATTGTAAAATCGGGATTCTTGGATCCATTCAATTAAATCAGAACCTTCCATCTCTGAAGACTGACCGGTGACCAATTCTAGTATGAGCACTCCAAGTTGGAAGATAATCTTACAACTTTTCTGCTTCATATAATCTGATACGGACGAGAATAGTGAGCACATAAATGTAAAAACAAAATGTAATCACTTACAAATTTTATTTTGTTGTGAGAGTAGTTTACAAGAAGTGACCTTCTGAATATGGCATCATAACAGAATCTCCACCAGATGTAAGAAGGCCAAAGTCGGATAGCTGTGATACAGAAGGCAAATTAATTTAATATGATTTATAAATTAGAGTGCTTTAATTGCCTTTTGCATGTTAATCTGAAATCAAATATCGTTAATCCCTGCAAAAAGGTAATTGAGATAGGGAACTACATCCTTACTTTAGCTGTGAAGTTCTCATCTAACATAATATTGCCCGAGGTGATAGACACATGACACACTGGTGGTTCACTGAAGAGAAACAAGTATTCCTGCTCCAGAAGCAACAACATATGGCAAACATCAAATCACCGTGCTTGACAAATTTAGTAGTTTCTACTACTAGTTCCTATCTTACAATTTTGAATGGCGTAGGTATCAAGAAAATTTCATGCTATACTTTTGGATAGCCAATAAACATTAACGAAGATAGCATGGAAGCTTACATCATTCTCCATGATCATAAGGCAATGTCACAAATGTTCGATAGGTTAACATCATATCACCCAAAATAAACCACTTGAAAACCATCCAAATTATATAAAAATATATCTTGCAGCTAAATATATAAAATTTTGTTTTCCATTAAGCAAATTACATACTTAATATTGTAGGAATCACAATCTTCTTTGCCAACATTTTTGCCTTCCCACTTACCCTTCTATTTATCATGTCTCCTAGGCTTACCATCTCCACTTAATATAAAAAGCACAAATAAAAAGTATAGCTGGCTACGTTACTTAATCTAAATATCTAAAAGCTCCAGGTGCTGTATTGCCAGGTTCAGCATCAATATTAGTCTATCCATGGCCATTTAGTTATCCACAGAGAGCAGAGACTGCTGACCTGGATAGTTGGACCGTTGATCCAGATGTGCACCTTTGCAGAACATGGATAAAAAATTGTTCCGCATTAATAAACTGTATGATATGATGCTTTCGGTCTAGAACTAGTAAGAGCACCATTCGTGCAGCTTGCTACTTATGCAACAAGGAATTCTTTTTCTTAGGACAGGTAGAGTTATGGTTTATTTACCTGGGCTTTTATTCCATTCAAATCTTATAACACTTCTCCTTCGGACCTTACAGCACAGAGCGATGTCTGACTCTATTCATTGTGTTACCACTAGTGTCCCGTGATTTAAATAAACAGTTGCTAACACCCTCCCGCCCCCTCCTACTCCCCAACATGTGCTGCTTTCCTAATCAAGATAAAAGTGAGCACCCCTTCTCCCTTTAATTCGAAGTTTTTCTAGGAAGTTTTAACCTTACTGACTATGACACCAATGGTTGAGTTCCACGTCATATTTTAGTGGCTAAGGAGTTGGGAGAAGATAAACTTTTGGATGACACAAATCACAAATTGAATACACAGAAATGACAGAATCTAACTTCTACCCTTGTCATTGTCCATGGAAACAACAGGCCTAGTTTTATGTGTCAAGTTACTTTTCTTTCACAGAGCTATAGCACAACCGGGAAGCCAGGAAACCTAAACCTAAACCCTAAACCCTAAACTTACCAGGAAGCCAGGAACTGTCCCGTATCCACAATCAATTTAGTAAGCTTAAAAGAAAATATGGTTCTTCAAATTAATTGCCACACAAAATAAAATAAGAAGAGCGCAGTTTCAAGTTAAAGATATTAGGCACTTCTGGTTTTGTACTATTGTTTAACTTGCAGAGCTTACCAGTGCAGCCAGAACGCCATTAGCTATCTGTAACCTCGTCCTCCAATTTAAGGGAGTCTTCAAAGGGTCTGCGAACACACAATCGTTGAAACAAAATCAAAATATGTCATTGAGAATCTCCTCTAAACTTTTTTATCTGTGGCTATCTAAATTTACCATTTAGATGCTCCTTCAAGCTTCCATTTTCTATGTTGTCAAATATGAGCAATCTGCATAGGTAACAAATAAATAAATAAGTTACAAAATAGCTGAACCTATCCACACCTATACCCAAGACACTAACTGTAACTTCCACGTCCATTTTAAAAATTTTATATAAAAAAAATCGACAAGTACTTATAGAGATAAAAATAAAGAAAGAAAAAGATCAAGAAGATAAAATAAATCACATTTTTTTATTTATAAATCACAATGAAAATGCGAAACAGAGGATACTGGATGAACCTCTTGTGATTGCGTCCGACAGAAAAGCCTCTGAGCGAGAGAAGATGGCGATGGCGCAAGCGCCCCAAGAATTGCACGTGCCTGTGAAAATTGTCATTTCCTTCATTGAAACCTTTCACTTCTCTCACCAAACACACACCGCCGCCGTCTCCAAACTTGGCAGCATACGCAGAAACTTCAGAATTGCTATAAACGATTCTGCGGAAACCGTCCGTTGCTCTTCTAACGTCCTTGTACGAAATTCTCCTCACAAAAAACACCGCACCTGGACAATTCAACACAGTCATTGACCTTGATCCACAAAGCACTACACTATGGAACAGGAAGCAACTTCAATTGGCGAGCATTGAGTTCAATTTGACAATTGGAATGAAATCGAGAGAGGATTAACTGAAACCTTGAAAGTAAGAAGTGAAGAATAGAAATCGCGATTACCGGAGCGAGATCGGTGAAGCCATGCTAGAAGGTGGCGACGGAGCTTGTGGATGAAGGGATCCATGGAGGTGTCGGTTAAGGATAACGGAGTTGAGTGGGGAGATAACACCGTCAAATTCCATTCGCTTTGTGGTCATTGTTTGGTTAACGGGAACAACGGCCTCTTTATGAAAAACGAATCTGCGGATTCCTGTTACTTTGGATTTTGGGAGAGAGAGCGTAAGAGTGAGATACATTACAGAACGTGGAACAGATTCAACGTGGGTCAACGTCGCCGTGACCCAGTCAGTTAAAAAAAGTAATCCCAAGTCCTAACCTTTTTTCTCTTTACTATTTTCAATTGGGTTTTAGTTGGTTTATATTTTTATTATCCTGATTAATAATTATTAATCAGAAATTAAAGTGAACTTGAATGTAGAATAAATAGATAAATATAAAATCACGTATATGTATCTTTATGTGTGTCAATAAATTCTGTTTTTTATTTTATATAGATAAAAATACATTCCAGATCGCGAGCAAGTTATTTTAGAAATACTATATAAATAAAGATAATAGTACTATAGTAGTATTGAAACACATTTTTTTTTAATACAATATATATATATATACTGTTGATTATAATTTACTAAAAATTATAATATTATAAAATATTAATTGTCATTTTTAATAAATTTTGGTCATTATCACCATATAAACACAAAATAAAGTTGTCTCGTGTATATATTTAGGATTGAAATATAACTCCTCTACTAACATTAAATACGTCTTTAATTTTCTTATGATTTGAGAATTTTTTTAAAAATAAAAAGTAGTTCTATCCGGTGTTTTAAAAATTGGATTAGACCGGCTGGTCAGACCGGTGGTTTAGTCGGTCCGAATCTTGAGTTAAATCGGTTATGCATTCGACCTGTTTGAAACCGAAATGAACTGGCCAGTTTTCTAGTTCAACTAGTGAACCGGTGGATCAAACCGGTTCAACAAAAAAAAAATTATGTATTTCTTTATACAAAATAAAAATAAGATAATTTTAAATAAGATGAAAATTGATATTTAAGATAGGATATGAAATTATTGAAATTTATAAGTATAAAATATATTTAACATAAATATTTTTTTAGAAAAATTAATAAAAATCGAATCATGCGGTTCAATTAGTGACCCATCAGTTCAACCTTTGATCTACTAACCCAATACTTTAACCGATTTGATGATCGGTCCAGTTTTTAAAATTATGGTATTTTTAATATACTCCATTCAATATATTTATTTTTATTTATTAATTTTTATTAAAATCTATAGAATTAGAAGATAGAATCATTAAATAAAATGGAAAACTCATTAAATTTTGTGTTTAACAATAAATTTTAACAAATTAGAGAAATTTTTTCAAAAGAGAATATCACATACTATATTATTAGTAGTTCTCTTATAATAAAAATAATGTTTAATAGATACATTGATAGTTATAAGCACTCATTCAATTATAGCATCATAAATAATATAAATTTTTTTATAATAATTATCTTAAAAATCATATAAATCGTTATTCTTGATTGATTAATGTAAATTTTATTCCGATAATATATGTAACTCAATAAAATATAATGCAGTAAAATTTTAGTTACTATTTTTGAAACACTACATACATAAAATTTTAGTTATTATTTCTTATCATAAATAGTTTGATAAAAGTTTTTTTTTTGTAATGACTAATTTAATTAAAACTTTTACTGAGATTTGACATTATCCTTCATTCAATTTTCCATTGAAATTAATGTAATAGTTAAGCATTAAATTATTGTAAACAAAGAATCGGCTTGATGCCAACTCATATAACTAATGAGTTTCAAGTTGTTCACCAAAAAAAAGAATCCACATTTACTCTCTTATATGTAGGCATTGATAACAAAATAAGATTTTTTTAGTGAACAAAATAAGATACTAGAGGCAGTCATGAACTTATTGCTGATTCTTTCCCCCCTTTTTTTGGACTAAGAACGTGAGATTTTGCGTGCAGTGGCATACGTTCGCATTTATCGGATTTTATTTTTCTTTTACTACTATTACTTTTTTGAAAGGAATAAGGGCACAAGCCTACTGCATAGGGAACAGAAATCCCAGCTAAATCGAGTTTGTTTGCACGTCATTGGATTCTTTCTATTATTGTGTAGAAGGGTTGGGTTCGATTTAAATAAATCTATTATTTCATCTAATTAAAATTTAATAAATTGAATTTGATTAATCGGATTAACATAATTATATTTATTTATTTATTATAAAATTTAAACATTTTAAAATAGATATAAATCATTTGGTATATTGTTACAAATTTAATATTATTAACATATAAAGTAAACAATAATATAAATTAAAATTTAAAATAAATTTATTAATTTGTTACATTATTATCAACTAAAAAAATCAACATTAATTAATATAAAATAAAATTTAAAATAAATATATTATATTATTACAATACTATCAACCTAAAATATAAAATTTGTTACTAAATAAGAATCACAATGAGTATTGTCCTAAATAAATGATCATTCAAATATTATTATTATTATTATTATTATTATTATTATTATTATTATTATTATTATTAT